CATCCGCGCCTACTGGAACTACGCAAACTCCGCGGAACTCGCCTATCAACATCTGCGAAGCATTCATCAAGCATCCGACAGCGTTACACAAAGCCGGCTCATGGCACAACTGACAACAGTTCAAATGCAACCTGGAGAAAAGGCCATGCCTTACATCAGTCGCTGTCAAGGACTACGCGACAGACTTATTCGCTGCGGAGGAAACTTATCTGAAGAAGCTTTCGTAACCGTCGTTCTCGCACCTTGGACGCATCCGCCAGACCTCGACCCGAACTTCAGTCCTGGAGGGCTTCTGGTACTCTCGTACCATTCCCGAAGCTGAACGCACCAACGTGCTTGCCGTCCTGCAACACAAGCAACAACACCTGAGTCAGCACTCGTCATCGAAACAACAACTGCACCCGTCACAGCACCAACAACCACCGAACCTGCAGTTGAAGAACCAACCGTCGTCGCGGAACAACCTTCCGAAACTCCACAGCCCGGTCCCTCCGTCACGCCACCACCTCTCATCATCGACACGCCACCGACAGCCACCCAACAGTTAACACCAGTACCACGCGCCGTTCATCGAAGTGCAGCAACACACGCCGCCTTCTTCGCCAACGCAGACTTCTATCAACGCTCCGTCGGTCACAGCGCCTCCGAAGACATCTGGCATCAACGTCTTGGACATCCTGGAAACAAAACACTTTACAACACAATACGAGCCGGAGTGTTAGACAAGAACGCCCTACTTCTTCCCAACGGACGTGAACTCGAACGACCACGCGGCACCTGCTTCATCTGCCCGGAAGCAGATCTGCCTCACCAACCGTTCCCGTCACACCACAATCCGAGCGCCCCCGTTTATCAACCACTCGAGAAAGTCTACAGCGACATACTATACATACCTCAAACTGAAGGACGTGAAGATCTGAACTACGTCATCACCTTCATCGACGCCGCAACGCGATATGTCTGGCACGTCAACTTACCGTCACGAGACATGGCTCTAGAAGCCTTCACAGCCTGGCTACCTGTCGCTGAAAGAGAATCGGGAGTAAAACTGAAGAGTTTTCAGTCAGATGGCGCGATGGAATACCATTCACATCGCTTCAAACAGTTCTTGGCAGAAAGAGGCATCAAACGCCTCATCTCTCTTCCTTACGCTCACCAACAGCAGGGTGTGGCAGAAAGGATGAACAGGACCCTGCAGACAACCATGCGAAAGCTGCTACGTGGAACTCGACTGCCCAACTCAGAATGGCCAGCAGCGATGGACCACGCTGTCCTCCTGCACAACTTGCTGTCCTCGTCTTCACTGCCCAACAACGCATCTCCGCACCTGTTGTGGACTGGGAAGCTGGGCAACACAAAAATGTTACGAGTTTTTGGGTGTATGGTACAGTACCGCCCACACACTACACGCGCAGGGAGATTTTCGCAACGTGCACAGTGGGGTCTACACCTCGGGCTGGCAAAACATTACGAAGCCTGGCGAATCTTCGACGTCCACACAAAGGAAACAGTAGCAGCACGTGACGTTATCTTCTACGAGCGACTCACCCTCAACCATTACCTGGACAACATCGCACGCCACGTCGACCCCACCGGCGGATTTTCTGGTTCCCGAGCCTTCGCTTCACCCTCCGACGCTGCTGACTGGGAAGAAGAAAACGTCGACGGCGCCTCCGAAGCTGCTGGACCCCTTCCCTACTGCTCCGTCCCAATCCCCATGGACGAGGAAAATCCTCGCGACAGCAACAATGCCGACGTCTACTACCATTTCGCCGACACTGGTTACGTAACACCCCAACCCGTCAACACCGACATCTTTGAACGATACGGCCCCGGATTCGCACCTGATCCTGAAGCGGGAGACGAAGCAGTCTATCCCGAGGATCCCTTGCTGAACCGTCACACCCCCAGCGGACTCCAAGTCCTGGGACTCGTCGCTGCAGTGCACGGGCCTTCGTCGCCACCTGAAGAGCCTCGCTCTGTCAAGCAGGCTCTGGGGGGGGAACACAAAGAAAAATGGCGCGAAGCCATGGAAAAGGAGTTAAAAGCGCTTTCAGACCGCAACACCTGGAAGATCGTCCCTGCATCACTCGCACAAGACAGACCCATTCTCTCCGGAAAATGGGTATTCCGGATCAAAACCAACTCCGACGGAACCATCGAACGATTTAAAGCTCGATGGGTCGTCCGCGGATTCGACCAAGAGTATGGTCGCGACTTCACTGAAACTTTTGCACCAGTCACTCGACATACTTCCCTGCGTATACTCCTCGCCATCGCCGCCTCACGTCGCCGCCCACTCCGACAAATCGACGTCGCCAACGCTTTTCTGTACGCCCCAGTCGACGCTGAAATCTTCGTCGAACAGCCCCACAGGTTCGTCGACGACCCTTCCCTCGTCTGCCAACTACTTAAATCACTATACGGAATTAAGCAGGCACCCGACTCTGGCAGCAGTACCTGCACGCACGACTTAAACGCATCGGATTCAACCAACTGCCCCATGACCAGGGCATGTATCGCCTCACTCACGACAACGACTATGTCTTGCTAATCGTCTACGTCGACGACTTACTTTACATCGGATCAACTACCACTATCGTCACTTGGTTCGAAAGGGAGCTTCAGACAGATCTCTCCCTCACAGTCTCACCCAACGTCACGCAGTACCTAGGGCTCAACATCCTCGACGAAGACAACGCCATTCGTCTCAGCGCCTCAAAATACGCAAGCACTATCGCCGAACGCTTCTGCTTCACACCGACGCACGTCGCAACACCCTACAGTCACCTATCGCCCGACCCAAGTGAAGAAACCAACCTACTGCCGTCTGCCGGAGTCCAGGAATATCAACAGAAACTGGGCTGCCTACTCTTTGCCGCCGTTACGTGCCGACCGGACTTATCCTACAGCGCCAGCCAGCTAGCGACCTACCTCTAGCGCCCAGAACAACGTCACCTCAAGGAACTCAACCGTGCCCTTCTCTACTTCATCTCGACGCCAACAGTTGGCTTAACGTATCACAAGAGCACGACGACCGACCTAAAACTACTCGGCTACGTCGACGCTGATCACGCTGCTGATCGTGTCGATCGTCGCTCTCGCACCGGCTACATCTATCGCCTTGAGCCCGTCGGAACTATCTCCTGGCAATCAAGTAAGCAGGAACTCGTCGCACTATCATCTGCTGAAGCAGAGTATATTGCTCTCTGCACCGCTACCAAGGAAGGTCTGTACCTGCGCGAACTGCTGGAAGAAGCGAAAATTGCGAAAGTACCCAGCTTCTCGCTTTTCTGCGACAACCAGTCCGCGATACGAATCGCGAACAAGAATGGCTTCGCCAACAGAACCAAGCATATCGCACTGCGATACTTCTTCGTGAAAGACGAAATTGAGAAGGGAAAACTCCAGCTGGACTACTGCCCGACCACCGAGATGGCAGCAGATTATCTCACCAAGAAGCTACCAAAGGGGAAATTCGAGTACTGCATGCTGCTCACCGGATTGGGCCACGTCACCGAGACTGACCACGTCGACACTCCAGAAACGAAGTATGTAGTATCGAACCTCACCCGATACTGAAACACAACAAAAGGGGTATGAAGTCGAAAAAGGCGCGTACCACATCAAACCGCAACTGGAGGTTGCGAGCTGTAACCGCCTGGAGGTTACAGCAAGCGACGCTTCAGTGAACAGTAACCGCCTCGATAGTCGAAGCGTTACGCGTCTCGATAAACATAACCGCTTCCTGTAATCTATCTTTCCTATATATTCCTGTATGCTCTTTACTTTAATCAATTACTTGTTCTCACATACCAGCACAAGTACATTCACTCAAAAGACTTCCGCTGTGCTACTCTAGCACCTACTAGCCTATTCTCTGCAAAGATCCTAAGGCTGAAATCCTCGGCCCAACAGCCTCTACAGTAATGAATTCACATTCATTACATAGATGAGCACGTGCTAACCCCTTCTTGGGGCTGGCAAAACACGCCTGCACGGGGGTGGGTCCGATCCCAGTACCTCATCTATCGAAAGTGCCTCTTTCTACTGACTAGGCCACTTCTGGATCTCACAATGAATTAGTGCAAAATTGTTTCGTTTGACAAGCCCTTTTTCAAGCTGGCCCCGGGTTCACTATTTTGCATTTCGGTTTTAACTGGTTTGCTGGCTTGTTTCCAGCTCCAAAGCTCCAAGCAGCTAGCACAGCACAATATACCGGTACTTCCGAGAATCCCTCTCGACCGCTCTGTCTTTATTCATCAAGTCCCTCTAGCTCTGCGTTGCTGTTGTCCGTCAGCCATCCCTGTCATGCGTCATCCATCTTTGGGTTAGAAAATTTTTTCGAATTCTTTTCTTGGGAATGCTCCTCGAGATCACCATATCATCATCTTACAGAGATCTTTGTGCTCTGGAATCGTTGAGGCTTTGCAAGTCATCCTTCATTCGGGCTTGCGTCATCGCTCGCACATGGCGTCCTTCGCGTAGATTCATGCGCGTTGTGCTACGAGGAGAATCTGGATTGCAATCGGTTTTTGTGAGGGAAACGGGGATATGAGATACGACTGAACACGGCGTGGGAGACAAAGCGAAGTGTAAGGTTGACGACGAGGACGACGAATCGAATTGCGTTGTTGTTGCTGGGAATTCGGATGAAACGCTGATCGCAACTGGTCGCAGAGCGAGTCGTCGTGAAGCCAGCGTTTCGTGGTTGAGATCGCGACAGCATCGTGCTTTCGCAGCCGAATCCTTCGCAGCCAATAAGGGAACACCTGCGATCGGGGGCTCAGATCAGCTAGGCGCGACTCGAGGGTTCGCGTGTTTAGATGGGGTTAGACGGGTTGAGGGATCGGGACGGTCCGGACGCCCAGAGGTCGCATCTGTTGGACGAGCAGGGAGAAGTCGTTGACGGAGATGACGTTGACGTTGACGGAGATGACGTAGACGTTGACGGAGAAGAAGAGGAGGAGGAGGAGGAGGGGACTGACGAACCACAGACTATGCGGCTTTATGTGGAAGATCTGGTTACCAGCGCGACGGATCCCGCTAAAACCGGACTTGTTGCTGACGTGGCAGGCAACGTGGACAGCGACGATGACGACGAGGATGACGCGGATTCGTTGGAAGACGGATATGCCAGGATTTGCTGGCTCGGATCGGAGGAACCTTCTGAGGAACGAATCGAGGATCTTAAAATTATAGACCGTTGTTTCTTACACGGAGACGTCGTGGCGCGCGCGGACGATCCGCTGGGGCAAACCGGGACCGTGACAGCTGTCGAGCTGCTATTGGATCTCGAGCTCGCGTCGGGGGAGATTCTGAAAGACGTGGATTCCAGGCGATTGGTTCCGATCCGATCCGTGAAACCCGGGGGGTTTGTCGTTTACCACGACTGGGTGGGGAGGGTTGGCGACATATTGGATAACCTCGTTTTGGTTTTCGACGACGGGGCGAAATGTCGGGTTACCAAAGTCAGTCCGGACGATTTGTTTCCGGTTAGACCGTCTGCGACGGACGACGAGGAGAGCATTCTTTTCTGGCCCGGGCAGCGCGTGCGCGCGAGTTACGCGAGCATCTTCCGCCGCGCCCAATGGCTGAAGGGCACGTGGAAGCAGTCGCGCATGGAAGCCACGGTGGCAGTCGTCGAACCCGGAACGGCCCTCGTTCAGTGGATCACGGGGAGACAGCTCAGCAGCGGCGGCGGCGGAAGCGGCGGAGGCGGGAGTGGTGGCGGGGATGGCGGCAGGGATAGCGGCTCGGTTGAGGGGGAAGAGACCGGGGGGAATGGGGATGGGGAGAGCAACGGCAACGGCAGCAGCGGCAAGAAGGGAAGCACGGGGAAAGGGGAGAAGAATACGGGGGGCGCGGGGGGAACGAAAGGGCCGCCGCCAGACGAGGTAAGCGCGGCGGCTGTGCGCGCGCTGGTGCATTTTAACTACGTCAACTGGCAGGTGGGAGACCACTGCTTGCGCATTGAAGACGTGGTGAGCGGGACGGGGGAAACGGGGATGGAAGGGGAAGGGGGCGGGGGAGGAGGGGGCGGAGAGGAATCAGGGGGAGAGAGGGGAGGGGAGGGGGGAGTAGGACGGGATCAGGGACGGGATGAGAAGAGGGACGGAGAGAGGGAAGAGGAAGAGGGAGCAGGAGCGGGAGAGGCAGGGGAGAGGGATCCGCTTATTGGCTCTGGTGGAGGTAGCACTGTCACAACCAGCCACACCACCAGCAACAGCAGCACCGGCGGCAATGATGCTGGCAGCAGCAGGAGTAACAGCAGCAACCTGTTTTTCTGGCGTCGCGGCAGGGGCAAAAAGACAAACTCCAAGAAGAAAAACCCCCACAAAACCCCCAAGGGCGTGGAGCGGGCGCCAATGGTGGTGCGCACAAGCACCCACGTAGCTGTCACGTGGCAGGATGGGCGCGAGGAGAGGGGCATTGACGCGTGCGAGTTAATACCCGTGGAAAATCTGGGTGAACACGACTTTTGGCCGGAGGATTATGTGGTGGAGAAGCATGGGGATGATGGGATGGGGGGGGGTGAGGGGATGGGGATGGGGAATGGGGGGGGAGGGGAAGGAGGGCTGGGGGTTGGGGATGGGTTAGGAGGGGGAGGGGGAGAGAGGGGGATGAGTGGCGCTGCTGCAGATCTGGTCGCTCTTCTGACCTCCGCTGCTGATGCTGTTGGGGTTCCTTCGTCTCCTCGTCCTAATGCAGACGCAGCAGTGGCGGCAGCAGGAGAGACTGCAGCAGCAGAGATGGCAGCAGCAGCAGATACAGAAGCAGGAGAGGCAGCAGCAGCAGGAGAGGCAGCAGCAGACACAGCAGCAGGAGAGGCAGCAGCAGACACAGCAGCAGGAGAGGCAGCAGCAGGCACAACAGCTGCCACAGCAGCAGCTGATACAGTCAAAACCTCTTCCGCCCTTCCCGCTGCTGCTCTCCCGCCCTCTGCCGTTCCCGTTGCTCCTGCCCCCCTCTCCGTTCTGGTGCGAGGGCCGTGGGGCCGAGTTGGGTATGTGAAAACGGTGGATTATAAGCAGCGCACTGCCATTGTGGCCTGGGCTAGGGTTAACGGGGGAAGCACGGCAGGAGATTTGGGGGAAAATGGGAAGGATGGGGATGGAGGGGCGGGGAGAAGGGAGGGTGGGTGTGCGGTGGGGTGGGGTGGGGTTGTGGAGTTTCAGGAGGAGTTGGCTGCGGTGTATGAGTTGGCTGAGCATCCAGACTGGAATTTTAGGCTTGGGGATGTTGTTGTGAGGCTGGAGGCAGAAGGAGGAGGAGAGACAGGAGGCGGGGCAGGAGGGGAGACAGGGAGGGCGGCAGAGGAAAAGGCAGGGGAGGAGGCAGGAAAGGAAAAGGGAGAGGAGAAGGAAGGAGCAGGAGCGAAAAGGGTGGACGATAAGGGAGGGGAAGGTGGGAAGGGGGAGGAGGAGGAACGAGGGGAAAGGAATGGTGGGACGGTTGCAGACAGAGAGGGGAAGAGAGGGGAGAGGAAAGGGAAGGAAGGAGTAGAGGAGGGGAGTGAAGTGAGAGGGGATGATGTAGCAGAGAAGGAGGAGAAGGAGGAGGAGGAGAAGGAGGAAGAGGAAGAGGAGGAAGAAGAAGAGGAGGAGGAAGGGGAAGAGGAGGAGGGAGCAGATGATTGGGAGGAGGGAGATGAGGGAGAGGAGGGAGAGGAGGGGGACGTGGGTGGGGGGAGCGTGGATGCATCATGGGTGGGTGAGATTGCTGCCATGCGTGACGGGCTGCTGACCGTTGCATGGGCTGATGGCTCCATGTCCCAGGTGCGTCCCAGTGGGTTACCACGCATGGCTTCACTGCCATGCGCCATATGACTAGCATGCACCATGCGATTGGCATGCGACATGCACCATGCACCATGCGACATGCACCATGCGACATGCACCATGCGACATGCACCATGCGCCATGTGCCATGCACCATGCGACATGCACCATGCGACATGCACCATGCGAGATGCACCATGCGAGATGCACCATGCGAGATGCACCATGCGCCATGTGCCATGCACCATGCGCCATGCGGCATGCGCCATGGTCTGCTCACGGTTGCATGGGCTGATGGCTCCATGTCCCAGGTGTGCTGCTGTCGATTACCATGCGACATGCACCATCCACCATATGTTGGCATACCCATTCCGCACCTCCAGTTTTTTCCCCACAGTTGAGTATGTGTTGACTTTTGAGTCGACTCAAGAATCACTCTATTGGCAAACCCATTCCGCACCTCCAGGTTCCCCCCACACATGTCTATGTGTTGAGTCCGGAAGATGAAGAGGACATGTATGGAGGGGATGGCGGGTATGAAGACGAGGAGGCTTATACCGAGGATGAGGAGGAGGACGGGTGGGAGACAGCGGATGAGGAAGAGGAGGAGGGAGAGGGAGAGATGCAGCAGCGGCTACAGCAGGCGGGTGCAGCTGCAGCAAGCCTTCCCGAGGCGACAGGGAGAAGAGTAATGGCTGCAGTGGCTGCAGTAGCAGAAGTGGCGGCAGGAGGGCGAGGAGGAGGAGGAGCAGGAGCAGTGGATGATTTAGCTGCAAGCCTGCAAGGGCTGCAGAATGTGAAGAATGAGCTGGATGCGTTTAGCAGGGGGCGCAACTGGTGGGGGGGCGGGAGAGGCGCAGGGGGGAGGAGAGGGGGAAGAGCGGGAGGGAGGGGAGGAGGGGAAGAGGAAGGGGACGAGGGGGAAGCGGAGGAGGAGGAAGAGGAGGAAGGGGAGAGGGAGGGGGGTGGAGAGGAGGGGAGTGGGAGTGGTGGGAGGAGGAGGAGGGGGAGGAGGCGGAAAGCGGGGGGAGTTTTGGGGGAGGGTGAGGGGGAGAGAAGCAGGGGGGCGGGCGGCAGTGGGGAATCCGCGCAGGCAGGTGCGGGGAGTGACGCGAGGGTTGGATTGTCTGAGCGACTGGCTGCAGGGATGACGTCGATTATATCGTTGCTGCAAGAGATAGTACCAAAGCTGGATAGGGGCGAGAGGAAAGCGGGAGAGGATGCGAGGGGTGGAAGGGAGGGAGGAGAGGAGGAGGGGGGCGGAAGCAAGGGGGGAGAGGAGGAGGGGGGCGGAGGGGGAGAGGCGGAGGGGGATGCGCAACAGGCGGGCAGCAAGGGGAAGGGATTGCTGGAGCAAGAGGGGGAGGGAGAGAAGAAGCAGAAAGCGGATAAACCACCAACTGAGCCGGTAGAGAAACCCTTGGAGGGGCCTTTAGGTTTGGGCGCAGGTGGGGGGTTGGGGCACAGGCGTAAGGGGGCGGCAGCAAGTGTGTCAGGTGGTCCGAAGGGGGGTTTGGTAGGAGGGCAAGGTGCGGACGGATCAGGTTTGGCAGCAGGTGTTGAGGAGGGATCCTGTGGTGGTAATGAGGATGGATCAGCGGCTGCTACTGTGGAGGAGACTCAAGGGGAAGGGAGTAGAGGAGAAGGGGAGTTGGGAGCGCGTGGGTCTGAGAGCTCTGCTGGGATTGGTCTGGCTCTGCTGCTGGAGGGACGTGGTGGAGGGAAGGAGGGAGAGAAGAGTGGGGCAGGGGGGAAAGGGGAAGGAAGAGAGGAATTGGGAGGGAGAGGTGGGGGGGAGAGGAGGCGAGAAGTAGAGGAGGAACGGTTGGAAGAGGTGGGGGAGAGGGCAAGGGAGGAAAAGATGAATGCAAGTATGGAGACGAGTTTTGAGTCGACTCAAAACTCGACTCATTACACGTTGGAAGAGGTGGGGGAGAGGGAAAGAGAGGAAAAGATGAATGCAACTATGGAGAGTTTGGGGGTCGGAGGTTTTGTAGTTGATAAACCAGAAGGGGAGGTTCGGGGTGAGGTGAAAGGGGAAGCAGAGGGAGATTCGCCGGAGGCAGAAAGCAAGGAAACTGAGGTAGTCGCAAGGGAAGAAACAGAGACGCGGGAAGGGACAGGGGGAGACCGGGGGGAAGAGAGAGTGGGGGAGACAAGGGGAGAGGGCGCAGAAGAAGGGGGAGATGCAGGGGGAGAGGCAAGGGAAGGGGGAGGGGAAGGGGAAGGGGAAGGAGCAGAGGAAGTGAAAGGGGAGGAAGGTCGGGAAGGAGGGGAAGGGAAAGAAGAAGCAGCTGCAGTTGGGGCAGGGGCAGCAGAGGCAGGGGCAGGAGCTGCAGGGGCAGCAGAGGCAGTGGCAGGGGCAGCGGCGGGGGGAGGGAGTGAAGGCGCATGGCGGCAATTTGACAGTGTGACCAACGCTGCTGACCATTACTATGCGTCCCAGACGTTCCAGGTATGCCTCTTAAACCTCCCACCACCTTTCCCCAAGGGCAGGGAGTGAGGGCGTGTGGCGACAACAGTTTGACAGTGTGTGTGACCAATGCTACTGACCATTACTACGCCTCCCAGACCTTCCAGGTATGCTGCTGCTGCAGTGGTGGTGGTGGTGCCACTGCTGCTGGCCCCGCCTCCTCCCCTGCATCTCTTGCAGTGCAGCCTTTTGAGTCGGCTCAGTCGTTGCCTCTTGTCCTCTCAAACCCTTGCCTCCTCCCCACCTCCTCCCTCCCACCTCCTGCCTCTCACCTCCTCTCTCCCACCTCCTCCCATTCACCCCCTCCTGTTCACCTTGTGCAGCCGGGCAATCGCAAGTGGGCCAAGGCAGTGCACAAGGATTGGTGTCTCATGTCTCTTTACCTCATGCCACCGCCTTCCATTCACCCCCTCCCCTCTGCATCCTCCCTTCTGCCTCCTCCCATTCACCCCTTGCAGCCGGGCAATCGCAAGTGGGCCAAGGCTGTGCACAAGGACTGGGAGATTCTCCAGACCAACCTGCCAGGTACGGAAGAGTCTCCAAACCAGCCTGGGCATGTGTATGGAGGTGGGCCAGGGAGCTGTAGAGGGGGGATTGTGACTCTATTGAGGGACTCTTGTGAACGTACTGTTTATGAAGTCCCTCAGGAACAGCCATGTTTTGCTCCTCTTCACCTGCCTCCACCCCTCGCTCGGCCCCATTTTTCTTAACCACACTCCATCTCGCTGTGTGTGTGGATCGGCCCCGAGTGGCCATTACAAACCCTCGCCTGTATACCTTCTCATACCCCTCTCCACCCCTTTACACCCTTCTACACCCCTCTCAACCAGACTCCATCTCTGTGCGAGTGTACGAGGATCGCATAGACCTGCTGCGAGTGCCCATTGCTTGAGATTCTGGCACGCGAACCCTTAGCTCGTTTACTGCTCCTCTCCACTCCTCTCCACCCCTCTGCCTCCAACACCTCACCCCCCCACCAGACTCCATCTCTGTGCGTGTGTACGAGGACCGAATGGACCTCCTGCGAGTGGCCATAGTCGGACCGCATGACACCCCCTACCACCTCGGGCTCTTTTTCTTTGACATCTGGCTTGCAGCCCTTTACAACCCCTCTCCACCGCTCTCCACACCCCTCTCCACTCCTCTCCACCCCACCAGACTCCATCTCTGTGCGTGTGTATGAAGACCGAATGGATCTGCTGCGAGTGGCCATAGTCAGACCGCATGACACCCCCTACCACCTCGGGCTCTTTTTCTTTGACATCTGGCTTGCAGCCCTTTACAACCCCTCTCCACCGCTCTCCACACCCCTCTCCACTCCTCTCCACCCCACCAGACTCCATCTCTGTGCGTGTGTATGAAGACCGAATGGATCTGCTGCGAGTGGCCATAGTCGGCCCCCCTGACACCCCCTACCACCTCGGGCTCTTTTTCTTTGACATCTGGCTTCCACCTGATTATCCCGCCGTGCCGCCGGTGAGTGACGCGTGTTGTTGGGGAAGGATTCAACCACCAATGCTCTGCTTTGCTCCCCCCTGACACCCCGTACCACCTCGGGCTCTTTTTCTTCGACATCTGGCTTCCCCCCGAGTACCCTGCTGTGCCTCCTCTGAGTGTGTGTCTCACGCACTGTAGCACTAGGCCAGACACACTCAACACACCACATACCACATCCAGCACTTTTTCTTCGACAGCTGGCTTCCACCTGACCACCCTGCTGTGCAACCTGTGAGTGATACCCCTCCTCCTCGCTGTGAGTGATACCCCTCCTCCTCGCTGTGAGTGATACCCCTCCTCCTCGCTGTGAGTGATACCCCTCCTCCTCGCTGTGAGTGATACCCCTCCTCCTCGCTTCCGAGCAAGTGAGTGCTGTCGCCCTGTGTACCTGCCACACACCCAACACACCCCGTACCACCTCGGGCTCTTCTTCGACATCTGGCTCCCACCTGACTACCCTGCTGTTCCTCCTATAAGTGGAACCTAAGGATTCGCTGTTCTGGGCTAGTCAGACACACCACATACCACATCCGGCACTTTTTCTTCGACATCTGGCTCCCACCCGACTACCCTGCGGTTCCTCCTGTGCGTGATGCTCCATCTCTGTCCTTACAAACCCGACACTCCCTACCGCTTCGGGCTCGCGTGGCACTCTTGGAATCGCAGAACATATATTCATGTATATACATATATATACGTATATATACATATATATACATGTATATATATGTATTTATCCCAATCTCCTCCTGCGATGCCAGTCCGTGCATTATCACTCAGGCGGGTTGAGGGGGAACAGAAACCTGTACGAAAACAGCAAGGTGTGCTTCTCGCTCCCGAACACATGAAGTGTGCTAATTATCAACCCCTCTTCTGCTCCACTCACCCCCTGCAACGCCAGTCCGTGCACTATCACTCAGGCGGCCTCAGGGTGAATCGGAATCCTAACCTGTTCGAGAACGGCAAGGTGTGCCTATCGCTGCTCAACATGTGAAGTGTGCTATTTAACAACCCCCTCCACTTTTCCTCCCCCCTTCCCCTCTGCCAGTCCGTGCGTTACCACTCAGGCGGCCTGAGAGTGAACCCAAACCTGTACGAGGACGGCAAGGTGTGCCTATCGCTGCTCAACACGTGGGGAGGCAAGGGCACGGAGGTGTGGAACCCAGGCTCGTCCATTCTGCAGGTACGTGTGTGTGTGGGTGGTAGCAGGATGGCGGTAGTGCCTTGAATGGGTTTCTCACGAAGTCGATAGAATGCATGAGTGTGTGTCATTCATGAGTTGAGTCACGCACTCTGCATGAGTGTGTGTCTGTCCTTCAACACAAACACGTGGGGAGGCAAGGGCACGGAGGTGTGGAACCCAGGCTCGTCCATTCTGCAGGTACGTGTGTTTGAGTGGGAGTGGCAGGATGGCGGTAGTGCCTTGAATGGGTTTCTCACGAAGTCAGTAGAATGCAAGGTGTGTCTGTCCTTCTACAAACACAAACATGTGGGAAGGCAAGGGCACGGAGGTCTGGAACTTAGGCTCGTCCATTCTGCAGGTATGCGTGTGTGAGTGGCAGGGTGTGGGAGGGGTGTGGTAAAGGTGTGGATGGAGTCTGGTAGGGGTGTGGTAAGGGTGTGAGGGGGGTGTGGGAGTGGTGTGGGACGGGTGTGGTAGGGGTGTGGCAGGGGCGTGGAGAGCAGAGGGAGAGAGGAACGTTGTTGCCTCACTGTCTACTCTCTGCTTCCCGGTCTTTACATCCCTCGTCGTACCCTCCCCCCCAGGTGCTCGTGTCAATCCAAGGCCTTGTGCTTGCGTCATGAGCCGGGTATGTTTTTTGAGAATTCTCAAAAAACATACACCATCCCCCCCAGGTCCTCGTGTCTATCCAAGGCCTTGTGCTTGCGTCATGAGCCTACTCTCTCTTCTCCTCTTCGCTCATCCCCTCCCCCCCTCCCCCCTTCCCCCTCAGGTCCTCGTGTCCATCCAAGGCCTTGTGCTCGTGCCGCGGCCGTATTTCAACGAGGCAGGGTACGAGAGGCAGAGGGGCAGCGCAGAGGGGGAGAGCAGAGGGAGAGAGCCGAGGAGGAGAGGAACGTTGCTGTCGCATTGTCTGCTCACTGCTTCCCTGCCTTGGCGTTTCATCCCCCCATATCTCTCAGGTGCTCGTGTCTATTCAAGGCCTTGTGCTCGTGCCGCGGCCGTATTTCAACGAGGCGGGGTACGAGAGGCAGAGGGGCAGCGCAGAGGGGGAGAGGAACGCTGATCTTTACAATGAGAGCGCCTTCCTCTTGTCAGCCAAAACCATGATCTACTCAATTCGCAACCCTCCCAAGGTATGGCTGGGCTGATATGGGGACTTCTGTGTTGACTTGGTAGTGTTTCGGTGGGGTTTGGGCATGAGAGGCAGAGGGGCAGTTCAGAGGGGCAGTGCAGAGGGGGAGAGGAACGCTGATCTCTATAACCAGAGTGCTGTCGGCCAAAACCATCATCTACTCCATTCGAAACCCCCCCAAGGCATGTGTTGATGTGATTGGATCAGCTTGAGAGCTCTTCAGTGGACTGGTCTATTGTTGACCGGAAAATGTATCTACTCCCAGGACAAGGAAAGTATGAAAAGAACAAGGACTGCAACCCCTGAAGGTACTGTCCTCAAGTGATGCATCTGCTTGGCGTTTCCCTAGTTGATTGGAAATTCGTATTCACTCTGTTCATGTCAGTGCATGCCATATCAGTCCATGCCATGTCAGCCTTGCTGCACATATGCCCAAGGGGTTGGAGTGTGTGAAGTACTGTCTGATTCTTTACTATTATTATTATTATTATTATTTCTATTATTATTATTATTAGTATTATTAGTATTTGTATTATTATCTTCCACTCCCCTTCCCTTCCACTCCCCAGCACTTTGAGCCCCTAGTGGCGCTGCATTTCAAGCAGCATGCCACCGCAATCCTTGCTCTGTGTGACACATATGTACAAGGGACTAGAGTGTGTGTGTGACATCACTCATCTGTTCCCCCCCCTCCGCCCCCGTTCCTCCCCACATCAGCACTTTGAACCTTTGGTGGCGCTGCACTTCAAGCAGCATGCTGCTGCCATCCTTGCTCTGTGCGACACATACGCTCAAGGGACCAAGGTGTGTCCACTCAAGGCTGCAAGCAAGGCAAGCCCAGCTGCTGTCAAAGACACAACAAGTTCTTCTGCTAAGGACACCGCAAGCCGACCCGATTCTGACAGCACGAGTGGCTCCAAGGGTGTTCAGCAGCAGCAGGAGGGTTCGACGGGACAGCAGGGAGAGGCTAGGAGGCCTGCTGATGCGGTGCAAAGCGGTGGTGGGGGTGATGATGGGTGTTCGGCTGGATTCAAGATAATGCTAGGGAAGCTGCGGCCGCAGCTGGAATTAGCCTTGGCACGGGTTTTGAAGGGAAAATGATGTGTTTCTCTGGAGGTGACAAGGTTGGCTTGGATGATGTTACGTGAACAGTAGGAAGTTATCGTGTTATGCGTAAGTGGTGGTTATTGTAAATGTTCTCTGCAACCCGGGACAGTCGCCAATGCGTGCATACCGTATTTGCTGGGAAGTCAGGTCGCGATGGTTGTTCGGTATATGGCTGCCTTAGAGCGTGTTCCTACGGACCCCTATCAGGCTAACCCCTTGTCAGGCTGGTGCGTGCGAGCGATTTCGTTATTAACACCGTTTTCCAGACTTGAAAAATTACAATGCTGTTCGATGAATTGGTCGAGCGAAATCTTTGACACGTGCTGTTTGTTGGGCTGAGAAGCCCTAGGATCTTTGTAGAGTTTAAGGACTGAGTAGGATTGTAATAGCGGAAGCGTTGTAATACAGAGTGGTTGAACCACCTTGCACTAGTATGTGAGAGCAAAGTAAGTTAGTTTAAACAAGCAAATACAAGGTTTATATAAGAGTACAAGGAATACGAATAGATAGATTTAAATCGTTTTACTGTTGCGATTCGATACAGTGCGACTCGGGCAACTGCTCAATGTCGAGTCAGTTGTGTGTCCTTGCTGTCGCGCTGTAATTGTCGAGTCAAAGGTCGCTGACCTTTGACTTTCCCGTAACCTCTAAGCGGTTACCCTAACCTCAGAGGGTTGACTCGCGATGCTTCGATTTGGGCTGCTTCGCTAGTGTCCTGAGTTTCGACACGACAGAGGCGCCTTAAGACTTATTTGTTCCCAACACTCCCCTTCGCTTCTGGAGTGTCGCTGATGGTGACGTGGCCTTGTCCAGTCAGCAGCATGCGGTACTCGAACTTCTGTTTTCCGAGTTTCTTTGTCAAATAATCGGCTGCCATCTCGGACGTGGGACAGTAGGATAATTCGAGTTTCCCTTTCTCGATTTCGTCCTTTACGAAGAAGTATCGCAGAGCGATATGCTTCGTTCTGTTCGCGAATCCGCTTTTGTTGGCGATGCGAATTGCAGATTGGTTGTCGCAGAACAGGGTGAAGTTGGGTAACTCGGCTAACTTTGCTTCTTCCAGCAGCTCGCGAAGGTAGAGTCCTTCCTTGGTGGCTGAGCAGAGGGCGATATATTCTGCTTCAGCTGAAGAGAGAGCGATTAGTTCCTGCTTACTCGACTGCCATGAGATAGGCCCGATAGGCTCGAGACGATAGACGTAGCCGGTACGAGAACGCCTGTTATCAGAATCGCCGGCATGGTCAGCATCGACGTAGCCGATTAGTTTCGTCGTCGTAGCTTCGCCCTTGTAGTAAGTTAGGCCGATCGTCGGTGTGCTCACGAAGTAGTGCAGTGCGCGATCGAGCTCCGCCATGTGCTCAGCTTCGGGTTTCTTGAGATAGGTCGCGAGTTGACTCGCGGAGTAGGATAGATCCGGGCGACAGGTTACGGCTGCGAAGAGGAGGCAGCCTAGTTTCCTCTGGTAGTCTCGTATTCCGGCAGCCTTAAGTGGAGCGGGATTTCCTTTGCCGCTTCCTGTCGTGTGGCAGTATGGCGTGGCGATGGCGGTAGGCGTGAGAGAGAAGCGCTTGGCGATAGTGTCGGCGTATTTCTCGGCGTTGAGGTAGATAGCATTTTCTTCTTCGCGGATGTTGAGCCCGAGATACTGGGTGACGGTGGAGGAGACGGTGAGCGTGAGGTCCTTCTGCAGCTCCCCTTCGAACCAGGTGATGACGTCGTCGGTAGAGCCGATGTAAAGCAAGTCGTCGACATAGACGATCAGTAAGATGTAGTCAGCGCCTTTGGTGAGGCGATACATTCCTTGGTCGTGAGGCAGTTGTCGGAATCCGATGCGGGTGAGGCGGGTGTGTAGGTGCTGTTGCCACAGTCGCGGGGCTTGTTTGATTCCGTAGAGCGATTTCAGTAGTTGACAGACTTGGTTGGGGTTTCCGTGAGTGCCGTGTGGGAGTTCGACGAAGATGTCTGCATCGACGGGTGCGTAGAGGAATGCGTTGGCGACATCGATCTGTCGCAGCAGCTTCTTCTTCATGGCGGCGACGGCGAGAAGAATGCGGAGAGAGGTATGTCGACTAACTGGGGCGAAGGTCTCGGTGAAGTCTCGTCCTTGTTCCTGATCGAATCCACGCATGACCCAGCGTGCTTTGAACTTCTCGATTGTGCCGTCAGCTTTCGTCTTGATGCGGAAGACCCATTTCCCGGTGAGAATGGTCTTGTTCCGTGCCACGCTTGCGGGAACGACCTTCCAGGTGTTGCGTTCCTCCAATGCCTTTAATTCCCTGTCCATGGCTTCACGCCATTTTTCCCTGTGTTCCCCCCCCCAGAGCCTGCTGAACTGTCGCAGGCTCTTTAGGAAGAGTGTTGCCGGCGGTCCCGTGGACTGCGGTGACGAGGCCAAGGATTTGTAGCCCAGTCTGTGAGTATCGAGGGAGTTCTGGATCCTCGGGATAAGCTGCTTCGTCTTCCGCTTCTGGGTCGGGGATGAAATTTGGCCCTATCCTTTCTGCTTCGTTGGTGTTGACTGTCGCAGGTGTTACGTAACCGTTGTCGGCGAAGTGGTAGAAGACTTCGGCGTTGTTACTGTCGCGAGGATTATCTTCATCCATGGGCACATCGACGGAGCAGTACGGGAGAGGTCCGGCTTCCTCCGATGCGTTGTCGACGTTCTGTTCATCCCAGTCTGCTTCGTCCGCTGCTGAGGCGAAGGCTCGGTCACCACGAAAGCCACCTGTGGGGTCCCGATTCTCGTGCAAGTTGGAGTAGAAGCTGGCGACGAAGTTGGCGCTGCGGTGGACTTCTCGTTGAGTCGGGTTCAGCTGTTGTGCGGGTGTTGGTGGTGTTTCGTCGACGATGACTGGTGTCGTTGTTCCTGCTGCTGCCGATGTTGTTGCTGCTGCCGATGTTGTCTCTGCTGCTGCCGATGTTGTCTCTGCTGCTGCCGATGTTGTCTCTGCTGCTGCCGATGTTGTCTCTGATGCTGTCGATGTTGTCTCTGCTGCTGCCGATGTTGTCTCTGCTGCTGCCGATGTTGTCTCTGCTAATGCTCGTGTTCGCTCTGCTTCAGGGATGGTGTGTGAGTACCAGAAGCCTCCTGGACTGAAATCAGGATCGAGGTCCGGAGGGTGTGTCCAGTCGGTAAAGTTGACGATGGCGTCGCTGTCTGCAGTGCCCAGGTCGGGGACGAAGTCAAGAACGAAGACGTTATTCTTCAACACTGCTTTCCCGATGTAGAGGCCGCCCCTCTCGTGGTATAACTTAAATTCCTGGGTGGTGCTGTCGGCTTCCAAGTGAATCCCCTTCGCCATCAGCTGGCTAACACTCAGTAAGTTGTAACCGAGTCCTTCTGCGATGAGTACTTTTGACATGTGTAGTATAACGTTGGTCTCTCTTGATTGAAGCTGAACGACTCCTTGTCGTCTTGTGCGCAGGTTCTGGTTGTTGGCGACCGTGATGACTACTTCTCGCTGGAGTCGATGTTCGCGTTGTACGAAGCGCCCGGAGGAGCACATGTGTTGTCCGCAGCAACTATCCAAGAACCAAGTGTCTTGGCCGGACGGTTCGCTTTGAGCGATGGCGGCGTACGTCGGATTCGGCTGGAGTGATTCGTGGTGAGGCGTCCTGTTGTCGAGCTCCTCTTCTGGTGAGTAGTAGGGTGGCGACTCTGTAATGCAGGAATCGTTTATCTTTACCATGCAGTTGACGATGCTTCTTGCTCCTTGTGCAGGTTGTCCAGTTGAAGTCGTTGAAGCTTGGATCGTGGTTGTCGGACTTGCTTGCGTTGAAGCAACTTGGGAGCTTGAAGGCCGCAGTTGTCGCTGTGGTGTCGTCTGACGAGACGGGCAATGCGTGCGAGGATGGCCCGAGGTTTTGCAGATGTGGCAGAACGGAGGTACCGTTTTCACTTGCTGTTGTCGATTGTTGTTGCCGTTGTGTCGTCGCTGAGTGTGAAAAGCAAATTCTGGTGCTAAAGCTTTCTTCTTGTGTCTTTCTTCTTGCAGGTCCATGTCCTGCTGCTCAGCATGAATTTCGGCGCAGAGTGCCGCTTCGGAGATCTTCCCGTGTGCTCGTAATATGGCGCGAGTGGAGCGCCAGTGGGGGCCGAGACCACCGATGACCACCGTGACAAAGGCGTCTTCTGAAATTGACCCGCCGCATCGAAGAAGCTTGTCGCGCAGTTCGCGGCAGCGGCTGATATAAGCCATGCCTTTCTCGCCTGGTTTCATTTCAATCGTTGTCAACTGCGCCATTAACCTGCTTTGGTTTACGCTGTCTGTTGCTTGATACAGGTTCTTCAGGTGGTTGTACGCGAGCTCCGCGGAGTTGCCGTAGCCTAGGTAAGTCCTGATGTTCTGCTGCTGGGTTGGGGTGATGTTCCTCAGCAGAATCGTGTACGCCATCATCGATTGATATGTATACTGCTGCTTCTCATATTGTGTCCCGTTTGTCGGATATGGCAGGGACCCGTCGAAGAAGCCAAGAATCTGTGCTCCTTCCATCATCAGTTCAAACTCGAACGACCAGGTAAAGAAATCTTTGCCGTCGAAAGGCTTTGTCGTTTGTAGTTTTAGGACGTGCGCGAATTGCGATTGGACTTGTAACGCGTCCAATGTCCTTTCTTGTCCCGATGCAGGTTGCGGTTGCGGCATGAAGCTGACGGAGCCACGTTGGGGCTCGTACGGCGCAAAGGTAGGCTGTTGTTGTTGTTGTTGCATCCCGCGTGCATAGGATGAGCCATCGAGGCTCATCGGAGTAACATTGTTGTTGTTGTTGCTGTTGTTTGACTGCGCAGGCACTCCTTGCTGGTGTTGCTCGTAGAAGGACATGAAGGAGAAAAATTTCTCCATCATGTTTGAATCGAAGCCTGCTGGTGTTTCCGTGGACCCAGCTGCTGGTCTTGCGGTAGTGCCTTCCTCTGTCTGTAGGCCAGAGGCAGGAGGTGGAGTAGGAGTAGTGCCTGGGGAGCCGTTGGAGGAGCTCCTCTCCTTCCTTGCAGACAT